GGATGTTACCAAGCATGGTAACGAAACGTCTGCGAAACAAGAAACCAGGTCTGCGAGCCAACTAACCTCAACAACCTCATCACAACAATTTATCAAGGTGATGCTGTCAAAACAGGACAGGCAAGAAGATTTTATAGATAGAGAACAGCATAATGGGGTCACATGTAGCGCAACATGAACCCAAGGTCACGGCTGAGGCCGTCTTCATGGGTACGGAACTTGGCTGTAAGTTTCAGCCAGCGATTCTGCGTTGTTGTGTATCTTGAAGTCTGCCTTGGAGGATGCTTATGCGAAGGTCGGAGGCTGGATGTCCTTGGCTGCTGAAGTGTTTCCCGACAGGGAGGGAATGTTCCCGTCTGGCGATTATTGCGTGGTGTCCAATCATCCGTGGTCCTACTTCTGCATGGTCTCACCAATACACCATGCCTCTGGGCAACCTGCAGGTCTCCATATCCAGCTTTTGCAATGCAGGAATGTATGAATGATTAAAGATTCAACAGGAGACAGTCAGTCAGCCATTTTCGGTTTGTTCACGGCAACCATTTTATCACAGCACTGCACTAACATTGATTTTAGAAACACTTTGCTCACTGTCTAACATGCTTGGTCACCTGCAGAGACTTATTATCCAACACTCCACTCACACCAGTTGTATGATCTTTTGATCTCTCTGCCTATAAACGCTGTGTCTGTGTGCCCTTCTCTCTCACTGCATCTGACGAAGGGGCTGCATTCCAAAAGCTTGTGATTTCAAATAAACCTGTTGGACTATAACCTGGTGTCATGTGATTTCTGACTCTGTGAATGGTCAGTTCTCTGTGTTGATAGATCTATATATTTCCCATCCAATCCTTCCAAGACCTCCAAACACCCTGTTTCTGTGTCATCGTTAGAACAGTAAGACAGACTCGGATTTATGCAGAATTAATTGCAGAAGACAAAGACGATAAAATCGACACTGAGTGGGTTCCCTGAGTGACATCTCTCAAAACCAAACCAAATATTTCTGGAGCTACATGAATTTCTTGAAGCTTGTGAAACTGTGGGTGAGCTGCACTGTCAGAAGTGGGTATCTGAGGGAGAGCTGCACTGTCAGAAGAGGCGAACTGAGGGAGAGCTGCACTGTCAGAAGTGGGTATCTGAGGGAGAGCTGCACTGTCAGAAGTGGGTGTCTGAGGGAGAGCTGCACTGTCAGAAGGGGCGAACTGAGGGAGAGATGCACTGCCTGACCTGCCATGAATTCCAGCACTTTTTGTTTTCAGTACAGATTCCGGCATCTGCAATAAATTGCAGGCACAGTAGTCGATAAATGTTGGCCCGCAAACTGATGCCCACATGACATGAAATTATATCAAAAGAGTCAGCCTGTTCAGCAAAGAAGGAGAGGGAGTTGGAGGAAATCATGTTTCTTTTTCCTGTTTTACAGAAGGATTCCCCCGTACTACACCAGAGAATACAGAGAGGACAGACAACCCAGATAGATTCTGACATTCAATCAAGGAACAACTGCTTAAGTGTGGGAAGATATCCAGTCCTATCGCAGCATTGCTCAACACTGGAGATCAGTATATGGAAATCAGTTGGGTGAGAGGAGCTTTAGCATATCACCTGATCTGAAAATGGTCAGTGGTGAGGAGCCTAACCTTCCCAAATGTTTATCTGTGGGTGATCGGTCAGGGTGAGGCTGGGAAGAAGTGCGAGTGGTTTCCAAGAGTGGTGAGAGCTTCATTCATTCATCGAGCCTCATGACCCAGTGATTCATCCCTGCAGACTGTTCAAGTGTGAGGTGTTGGAGGAGAACTCTGCAGGCTCATAGGATAAGGTGCATCTGTTAGAAACACTGTTAACACACAGACAGCTACATGGAAGAGAGACCGTTTAAGTGTGAGGTTTGTTACCGAGCTTTTACCAAGTCATCAATGCTTGTGAATCACCTACGCATTCACACTGGGGAAAAGCCATTCACGTGCAAAGTGTGTAAAAAATCATTTTTGAGATTATCAACCTTCCATAAACACCAACGCATTCACACACACGAGAGACCATTCATATGTAAGGTATGTGACAAAGCATTCTCATGGTCAGAGAATCTTTGGAAACATCAACGCCTCCATACAGGGGAGAAACTGTTTAAGTGTGAGGTGTGTGAGAAATCATTCTCTGACTCATCAAGACTCCTGCTCCATCAGACGATTCACACAAGGGACAAACCATTCACGTGCAAGGTGTGTAGCAAATCATTCTCAGTATCATCGCGCCTCCAAGTACACCAACGCACTCACACAGGAGAGAAGCCATTCATATGTGAGGTGTGCAACAAAGCATTCTCAAATTCATCGCATCTTCGCATACACCAACGCATTCACACAGGGGAGAAGCCGTTTACATGCGAGGTGTGTAATAAATCATTCTACGATTCATCAACTCTGCGCAAGCACCAACGCATTCACACAGGGGAGAAACCATTTGCCTGTGAGACATGTGGCAAATCTTTCTCGCAATCATCAGCGCTTCGCATCCACCGACGCTTTCACACAGGGGAGAAACCGTTTACATGTGACGGATGTGACAAATCATTCTCGACATCTTCTCAACTCTGTACACACCAACGCATTCACACCGGGGAGAAACCGTTCAAGTGTGAGACATGCAACAAATCGTTCTCAAGGTCATACAACCTCCTGCTCCATTGGAGACTCCACACAGGGGATTAGCCTTCAAGTCTCAGGTTTACAGATAAAGCTTTTAGAATATCTCTAACCCTCCTGAGATCTCTCAGGATCTCCTGAACTACCAGCCTATTCACACCTGACAGAAAACATTCAGGCTGAGTCTTTTACACTGTCACCATATCTCCCAGACCATGAGCAGTCATAAAATAGAGAAACCTATCAGTGTGAATTCTGTAATAAAGCCCTAATACAATTCTTAGGTCTCCAGGAACCATATCATCAATTTCTTGCTAAGGTGTCCTCACAGTGTGTAACGGTGTACACAGTCTCACGGTGCAGGGTGTTCAGTGGGACTGGGACACAGAACAAGAAGCAGCTTTCACTCCCATCAAACACCTAGTGATGACATCACCAGTGCTGAGGGATTATGATGTCAACAATGGAGCCACCCTGCAGTGTGATGTCAGTGACACAGGACTTGGAGCAACCTCCAGGCAGTGAGGGTAACCCGTTGTGTTTGTGTCCAGAGAGTTAACACACACTGAACATTGCTGTACACAGATGGAGAAAGAGAGTCTGGACATTGTTTTTGCTTGTGAACTTTTCAACCATTCCCTTTTTTGGAGAGAGGAAAAGAAAAGGTAACATCTGACCAAAACACAATTCACAGCATCTTTCTCAAACTACTTTGATCCCCTCCAAAGTGTTTGCAAAGGGTGTTGCTTCATGTACAGAGATATCACTGGGAAGTGAAGGACAAGCAGATGTACATCACCGATGTACTATCTGGAGCTGCACTGTCTCTGACTGAAGTTAATGCTGGTACATATTGTGAAATATTCCAAATTCAGCAAGAAGCAGCAACATGACTTGGTCTGGAAATCATCAATTCAACCATTCATTGTTGAATATCTGAAAGCGCACTTCAGCCGTGATGACATTCCTGAGATTGTGATAGTGACAATTACCTCAATTCATGAGTTAAAAATTTGACACTTACTAATAATCAGGAAATTCAACACCACATTTCATTTCCACACCATCTCCAGTCATGCAGGCTGATGTAGTAGCAGAAATTGCTACAGGAATTGTCAAAAATTGACTTGATCCAGTTGAGATGTGCACAAGGCAATCTTAGAGAGGAGAAACGCATCTCCTGATGGAATGGATAATGGTCTAGTCTATTCTCACTTAGGAACTCTTGCAGTAACTAAAATACAAGCAAGACTGGAAGAAGTAACAGGAGTAAGTGATACCTTCAAGTGAAACAAAAGTCCATGTCACATTTTGTAAAGATACCAAATCATTCAGAGCTGATTATGGAATAGCCTGTTAAAGTGCAAACATTCATTGCATTCGACAAGTATCAGATCCTTTGGCAACTTGAAATTTAGAAGGAAATTGTCAGCTTGATCAGACATGGGGAAAGTGAAAAGCCAGATCTATCACCACAACAACAGACATCTGCACAAAACCAGAAAGTCAGCCCCTCGACAGGTGACAACTGATGAGGCAGATTCAATTTCACCAATGGAACAAACAACAAAATGACTATCTGTCCCGGAGGATAACCATTCCCCGCAAAAATACAAAAGGTCAGCAGTGATAATTACCATGGCAACAACACTTGCAATGGCAATAATATTCTGCAAAGTTAATGACACCTCAGGAGCCAGCAGACACTGAATGAACAGCCAACAACAACACATATGAGTACAATAAGAAGACCGTAATACTTTAAAGATTGAATGCAGTGCATGAGTTTGGATGGACAAAACCAGAACAGACTAGAAAGAACAAACAATTCTTTTTCATGTTGATAATTTTCCTTATTGACTATAAGTGTGCAGTAACTTGCAACCAATAGTCTGTGCAAATTGTTAACAATAGATTTATGAAATGGGGAATATTTGGATCAATACTTTTCACACGTTAGCTTGTCATGTTCATGTGACCTTGATGTCATTGGAAGTAAATGTTTGCGAGTGATCCAAGTTTAAACTCCATATGGAAAATTGAGAAGGAGCTATTGGTGGGAACAGGAGTAGGGGCAGTGCTGATGAGAATAGGGAATGTTCTCTCACAAAAGGAGGTGCTGACCAGCATCCAGCCTCATTTCTGATTAAGGATCATCTTGAGCTGAAAAATGAACTCAGTTTCTCAACAGAGATGCTGCCTGACCTGCTGAAAAGTTCCAGCATTGATTTGTTTTCATTTTATTTTTTAAAGCACAGATAAAGACCATTCAACCCAGTTGCTTTCTCCCTCCCTACTTTATTTCACCCTCTCAGCAAAGCCTTTTATTCCTTTTTCCCTCATGGACTTACCAAGATTCCTGTCAAATGCACCTGAGCTATTTCCTCAACCATTCCCTGTGGCAGCAAGCTCAACATTCTCATCCTTCTGTTCATGATGGAGTTTGTCCTGAGTTTTTCCTCGGATTTATTATTCGCCATTTTATATTGATGGATCCTGCTTTTGAACTCTTCCACGAGTGAAAACATCTTCTCTCCATTTACCCCCAACATTCGTAATTTTATATTTCATCATTTTAGGGATTTCTATGATGCCATCCCTCAGCCTAGTCATTTCTGAGGAAAGAGTGCTGGGCTGTTCAGTCTTTTTTACAGTTACAATCTCTTAATGCTCATCGTAGTCAATGGTTTTATATCTTCTCCACTTCCTTGATGTCCTTATCAATATGAAGATCAGAACTGTGTACAACGCTTGGAGTATGGCCTGCACAAGGTTCGAGACAATTTCAGCAGAATTATTCTGCTTTTCAAGTTTATTCTTTGTTAAATGGACCCCAGTGCAGTTATGTAATATTTTGTTTTTTTGAAGTGGTCTTTTCTAAAATTATGGTGTAATTAACAAGGCTTAACTCCTTAAATTGTACTGTACAAAGCTTATTGGTGTAAAGTCTTAATTTGCATGATGTAATCGGGTGAAATTGAGAAAACCTTTAAGTTGGTCTTTAATTCAGTGTGAATACTGTAATGTAACTTTAGGAAATAAATATAGGTGTGCACGTAGGTTTTTAGTTGGGACACATGCTGCACTTTTGCCATCCTGTGAATCAAACGTTTAACATAAAATAAAAGCCATGACTGATACTGTTTGGCTGGAAGAATGATCTCCAGATCAGCATTGAATCAAGAGAGGACAGGTTTTGGGGACATTATTGTTGGGAAGCTGCCTCCCTCATTCTTCTAAACTCCAGTGAATACAATCCTAACTGACTCAATCACTCCTCATATGTCAGTCCTGCAGCCTAGGAATCAATGTGGTAAACCTTTGTTGCACCACCTCTATGGCAAGAATTTTGTTCCTCAGGTAAGGAGACCAAAGCTGCATGCATTATTCCAGGTGTGGCTTCCTCTCACCTTAAAAACATGTCCCCTAGTATTGAAATCCCCCACCTTAGGGAAACAAAACTTGCCGTTATGTTATCTATGACCCCTGATGATCTTATAAAGCTCTCTAAGGACACCTTTGACCTCCTATGAATATACAGGTCTCATTGAACATGCCCCTCTCTCAATTTCCAGGTATCCAAATAATATCTCCCTTCCTACTTTTGCTGCCAAAGTGATAACCTCACATTTATCAACATTATACCTGGCTATTCACTCAGCCTGTCCAAATCACAATGCAACATCTTCATATCTTCCTCAAAGCTCAGCCATCCATCCAGCTTTGTATCATCTGCAAATTCTGCTACATTTAGTTTCCTCATCTAAATAATTAACATATATTGTGAATAGCTGCAGTCCTAGTACATGATCCCTGCTGTACCCAATTAGTCACTGCCTGCCATTCAGAAAAGGATCCATATATTCCTACTCTTTGTTTCCTGTCTGGCAGACAATTTTCTATCTATGTCAGTACAGAACGCCTAATCCTAATACCTTTAATTTTTACTGATTACTATCTTATATGAGACTTCATTGAAAGCCGACTGAAAGTCCAAATGAAGCACATCCACTGGCTCCCTCTGATCCAACTCCAACAGTTACATCCTCAAAGGATTGCCGTAGATTTGTCAAGCATGATTTCCTTTTTCTAAATCTAGGTAATCATGCTACTTTGACAGGCCTGTGTAGGTACAATGGACCAAATGGCTCCTTATGCATTGTCTCACTTCTGTGATTTAATGTAGGTAGATCCACAGTGCTGCTGGAGTGAGAACTGAGACAGCAGCTGCAATAAGTGAGGTTTTATTCAATGGGACAATGGCAAGTTTAAATCCCCACGTGGTCTGCTGCTCAAAGTCACCTCCATTTCACCGGTCAGTTTCCCAAGTTTCAGGAAATTCATGTTGCTGCAGAAATATTTGGATTGGCTGTGAGAGACGTCAGTCAGAGAGCCCACCCACTCTGCCCATTCTCTCCTCTTCCTCTTCCAGAGCTGGTTCACTTCCTATAGGGACTGAAAACCAAGTGAGGAGATGGTGAGTGAAGGAGCAGCTTTTACACAAATTGTATCCCATAATATCCACACCAATCTACAGGCAGTCTGACTATCCTGTGGGCAGTCAGGGGTGGAAATGTCCCTTATGCTGTGTGAGAAGATCCAGCTGAGAGAGCTGTTTACTCGGTGCTTTGTGCTGAACTGTTTGACTGGAGCTGTGTGTTGGATATTGAGTGTGTTTATTGGAAGCATTTCCCTTCTGATTTCCAGGCTGAGTTTTGTTGATGGCTTATTCCTGAATAAGGTGAGGTGCAATTATCTGGGATGTGCAGAATTACAGATTTCCTGTTGTTGAGTTCTGTGTATGTGTGTTGGGAGCTGTGTAGTATCCTGTGGATTATGAATGGTCAGTTCTCTCCGTGTATTGGGATCTGAATGTTTCCTGTATTTTCAAGTCGCTCCAAGACCTCCTACTGCTCTTTCTCTGCAACCTGCTCAGAAACAAATCTCTCTTTTTTTTATGTGGAATCTTTTTACTGTCACCAGATGTTCAAAGCCCATAACTTCCAATGAAGCATCTTGAAGTGTGATCCCTGTTTTAATGCTGACAGCAAATATGTCCACAGCAAGCTCCTCCTCGTAGGAACGTGATCATGACTGGGTAATTATCTGTCTTTTATGCTGTTGATTGAGGGCATTAATGTTGGCCAAGACACCAGTATTAACATTCCTGCATTGTTTTTCAATAGAAAATTTGAGTATTGCTGAAGGCAGACGCATTTTGTGTCATTATAAAGGAGTAGCAGTCGGTCATGACACCCTTTGAGCCTGCTTCACCGTTCAATATGATCACGGCTAATCATACAACTCAGAACCCTGTTCATGCTTTCTCCCATACACTTTGATCCTTTGAGCCCCGAAAACTATATTTAACTGCTTCCTGAAAACATTCAGTGTTTTCGCTTCAGTGCCCTTCCATGGCAGAGAATTCCACAGGCTCAGCACTCTCTGGGTGAAGAAATTTCTTCTCATCTCAATCCTAAATGGCCTCCCTAAATCCTTAGACAGTGGCCCCTGATTCTGGATGCCCTGGTCATTGGGAACATCCTTCTTGTATTTACCCTGTCTAGTCCTGTTAGCATTTTATAGGTTTTTAGGAGATTTTCCCTCATTTTTCTAAACTCCAGTGAATATAGTCCTAACCAATCCACTCTCTCTTCATATATCACCTTCGCTATCCCAGAAATCATCCTGATAACTCTTTGTTACACTTCTTACATAGCCAGAACATCCTTCTTCAAGTAAGGAGACCAAAACTGAAAACAGTATTTCAGGCATGGTCTCACGAAGATCCTGTTCATTCGCAGCAAGACATCTCAGTTCCTATACTTGAGTGTTCTCGTTATTGAGGCCAACATACCATTTGCCTCCTTCACCACCTGCTGCACTTGCCTGCTCACTTTAAGCAATTCATATACAAGGACGTCCAGTTGTTGCTCCTTTCTCAATCTATCACCTTCCTGTTTTTGCAACCAAAATGGATAACCTCATCATATCCTTTGTCACTTTCTTCAACAACAGTGTCACATTCACAATCCTCCAGTCCCTGGGTATTGATCCTGTATTCAGAGAGGCTTGGAAAATTTCTGTCAACGGCTCCACAATTTGGTCCCTTACTTGTCTCAGCAACCTGTCTGGGCCTTCTCTACCTGAAGTGCAACCAGCCTTTTCAGCACCTCTTCTTTATCCTCACTTTACTGTTCAGTTGCTTAACACCCACATTTTCAAATGGGCCATTGTCATCGTTATCGAATTTGGTAAAGATGGAAGCATTTGGTACCTCTGCAATACCCTTTGCTTCAATGAGAAGTTTACCCTGCTTGTTCATTATGGGGTCCAAATCTTTCACTATTAATATGTTTGAAGAACATTTGTTTCAGCACAGCCTGCCATCTTTTCCTCATGCTTCCTCTTTGCCTTCCTTGTTCCAGACTTAGCCTCTCTCCTGCATTTGAGATACTCATCCTCATATCTGTTGCTATTGTTCCAGTATGCACCACATGGCTCCTTTTTCATCCTTATTTTCTCATCAATATCCTTAGTCATCTAAATTTTGCATACCGTGTATTTATTTCTCATGAGTACGTGCAAGCTTGTACTATATTAATCTCTCTTTTGAAAGTCTCCCATTTTTCATCCACTGTGTTATGCACCAACATGCTTTTCTTATCAACCATCTCCAGTTTCACTTTTAAACCTCTTAAATCTGCTCTTTTCTGGTCTGATTTTTATCCTTTTCCAACTTAATAGTGAACCTTATTATGTTGTGATCACTATTTTCCAAATACTTCCCCAGTCTCAAGTTCTCTTGCTCTCGCTATGAAGAGCGCGAGTTAGGAAGAGAAGTTGAGTAGATTAGGATTATTTACATTAGAAAGACGGAGGTTGAGGGGGGACCTGATTGAGGTCTACAAAATCATGAGAGGTATAGACAGGGTGGATAGCAAGAAGCTTTTTCCCAGAGTGGGGGACTCAGTTACTCGGGGTCACGATTTCAAGGTGAGAGGGGAAAAGTTTAAGGGAGATATGTGTGGAAAATTCTTTACGCAGAGGGTGGTGGGTGCCTGGAATGCGTTGCCAGCGGAGGTGGTAGAGGCGGGCACGATAGCGTTATTTAAGATGTATCTAGACAGATACATGAATGGGCAGGGAGCAGAGGGATACAGATCCTTGGAAAATTGGCGACAGGTTTAGATAGAGGATCTGGATCAGCGCAGGCTTGGAGGGCCAAAGGGCCTGTTCCTGTGCTGTAATTTTCTTTGTTCTTTGTTCTTTACTCCATGCATTTACATACATACAATTTTACCCTGCCCTTATCTCTTCCTTACCAATTGGAAGTCAACTATTTCTGTGTTCACTGTCAAAACTCAAGTCTTCTCCCACTCCCTTTTTACCAATCACCATTTTTTCTCTTTTGCCCTCTCTGCTAATTCCAAAACTAGGCCCATGTGTCAATCCCACCCAGAAAACTACTTACTCTCTCAGCCAAGAGATTTGTTCCATGAAACACAACCACTCGCTTTCCAAGAGTTTATCCAGCCATTCTGTTCTGTCTCAGCCCCGTGCACCCGGGAAGCAATCGACCATACGGGATTCACAATCTAAGCTACAAACTAAACTGTATCCCTCAAACAATGAAGTAACCCACTACTGCTACCTTTTTAATCTGCCTGACAGCTTCCCTCTCTTTTTCCAGAGTAACCTCAGGCAGTATTTCCATGTGGTTTTCCCTTGAGTCATTCACTCCTGACTCAGTCATATTGCTCACTAAATAGGTGTTTAAAATTTCATACATGTTGGACCGTCCAAGGAGTCCTGGTTACCTAGACTTGCTGTCTCTTTTCCTTTTGGTAAATGGTCACCCACTCCTCCTGCCAATGCACTGTTCAATTGCAGCAAGACACCCCTGTTCCGGTACTTGAATGTTCTATCGTCCTCTTTGCCTGCCTGACACACTGTGGAATGACCACCCTCTGGTATGACTATTCCAGAAATCTCTCTCCTTCTTGTATGGTGTGTTGTGGGGAGAGTCGCTGCTCCAAATCAGCCACATGTTGTTCAAGGACTACTAACCTCTGGCACTTCATGCAGATATGACTGTCATGGACGTCTTGTGAATCCAAAACTCCCACATTTTACATGCCACACCCATCATAAGCTTTCCCAGAGTCTCTGCCATCTTTACTAGTCTCAATGATGCACACTGCTGAGGCACTGCTGTTTCTGAGCCACAAACACATTTTCTAACAGCCATTTTTTTGTTCTTCAAGGAGAAGGGATGGAGGGAAGCACTACAGTAATGTAATGCTTGGGGCTTCACCTTTCTTTAACACTGGGTCCTCTGCATTTCCCTTCTCATTGTAGTGAGCGAACTGACTTCTCCCAGAATTTTCCTCACTTGTTTCTCACTTCCACCCTCTGTTGGTTGTGCCTTACACTTGCCTTTAAATGAAATGTCAGGGTCTAGGCTATCTCTTTGATATATTTTGAGGGGGTTTTTTGCTGGTCCATAACAATCTGCCAAAATACCTCCTGACTTCCTATATCAATCAGCTGTAAAATCTCTCAGTCCATCTTTCCAAATCTGTACCTACATCCTCTTCCTCCCAGCGAAAATACATATGAAAGACAACTTGAACAACTATACAGCTTTAGTTCTGCAACCCAGTCTTTTATGTGAGACTTACCAAAAACATCCTGAAAGTCCAAGTAATAACTATCTACCAGCCCACCCTTCTAAACTCTATTAGCCACATCGTCAAGAAATTCCAGTAGATCTGTCAAACACTTTCTTTTTCATATAACCATGCTGACTCTGTCTTATTCTGTCGCTGTTTTCCAAGTGCTCTGCCAGTAAATCTTTTGTAATGGATTCAAGCGTTTTCCCATGAGCGATGTTGGGCTAACTGGTCTGTTGTTCCCTTTATTTTCAAATAGTGGGTTACATTTGCTCCCCTCCAATCCATAGGAAATGTTCCAGAGTTTATAACATCTTGAAAGATGACTGTTACTGCATCCACTATTTCTAGGGCCACTTCTGGGATGTGGATTATCAGGTCCCTGGGAATTTACAGCCTTTATTCCCATCAGTTTAGCCAATACCATTTCCCTACTAATACTAACTTCCTTCAGTTCTCCCATCTCATGAGAAACTGTGTTCTCCATCATTTTTACGACATTATTTGTGTTCTCCTTGGTGATGATGTAACCAAATTACGTATTTAATTGGTCTGCCAACTCTTTGTTCCTCATTATAACTTACCCTGTTTCTGACTGTCTTTTCTAATTCTTTCTTTTCATATACCTATAGAAACTTTTACAATCAGTTTGTATGCTTCCTGCAAGCCTACTCATGTACTCTATACTCCACCTCTTAACCAATCCTTTTGTTCAATGCTGAAATCTACACTGCTCGCAATCCTCAGGTTTGCTGCTTCTCTGAGCTAATATCTTTTGCCCATTTCTTCACTATCCTTAATTTCACATGTTTGCATTGTCAAGCCACGTTTCCCATTTTATGTAAAATTTTATTATCTTGCTATTGGGCGGCATGGTGGCTCAGTGGTTAGCAGTACTACCTTACAGTGCCAGGGACTCAGGTTCAATTGCAGCCTTGATAGACTGTCTGTGTGGAATTTAGATCATAGAATCCCTACAGTGTAGATACAGGCCCTTCGGCCCAATAAGTCCACACTGACACACAGAGCATCCCACCCAGACCCAATCCCCTAATCTACACATCCCTGAACACTACGGGCAATTTAGCATGGCCAGTCCACCAAGCCTGCACATCTTTGGACTGTGGAGGAAACCGGACCTCCTGGAGGAAACCCACGCAGACACGGGGAGAATGTGCAAACTCCACACAAACAGTTGCCCGAGTGTGGAATTGAACCCAAGTCCGTTCCGCTGTGAGGCAGCAGTGCTAACCACTGAGCCACCGTGCTGCCCCAACAGAGAAGGGGTTGCAGGATTCTCCCTGACCGGGAATCGAGCCCGGGCCATGGTGGTGGGAGCGCCGAATCCTAACCACTGGACTACCAGGGAAGGTTTTTAACGTTTCGGGTCCGGTGACCATTCCTCAGACCCGGGAAGAGCTTTCCGTAAACCTGCATTTACCACGGTTGAACTGTCTGGTCTGCACATCCCTACACACTACGGGGCAATTTCCCATGGCCAATTCACCTAACCTGCATATGTTTTGCCTGTGGGAAGCAACCTCAACACAGACAAGGGGAGAAGGCACTGTGGGGCGCAGTGGCGTACCACAGGGATCAGTGCTGGGTTCTTATTCGTGATATTTATAAATAATGAAGATGAGAAGGGTGGGGTGGTGCGATCAGTAAGTTTTCAGGAGGGTCAAAATTGGCTGGGCATTTGACAGTGAGCAAGAGGAATGTGTTAAGTTACAGCAGGATATAAATGAATTGGTTTGCAGATGGCACAAAAACACATGGAGGGACGGGCAGTGTTGAGGAAGCAGAAAGCTGCAGAAGGACTTGGCCATGCTAAGACAATGGGCAGAGAAGTGGTCGACAGTACACACTGTGGCCAAGTGTGAGGTTATCCATTTTGGGAAAAAGAAGCGTAGATTATTTTCTAAACAAGGAAAGGCTATGGAAATCAGAAGTACAAAGGGACTTGGGAGGCCTAGGTGAGAATTCTGTTATAGTTAAAAAGAACTTTCAGTTGGCAGTTCAGAAAGCATTCATTTCAAGTGGGCTAGAATACAGGAGCAGGCTCTATAAGGCTTTGGTCAGAACGCATTTGGATTATTGTGAGTAGTTTTGGGCCTAAAGGAAAGGTGTAGAGGGGACTTAAGGAAACTTTTTTGCACCCAGAGGATGGTCAAGCTGTGGAATTCACTGCCTGGAAGGGTAGTTGAGGGGGTAAACCGCACAGTCTTTAAAGAGTACTTGGATGAGCGCTTGAACTGTCATAACGGTCAAGTTATGGTTCTAGTGCTGGAAAATGTGACGAGTATATTTTTAGCTACACATACTCGATGGGCCAAAGGTCCTCTTCTGCACTGTGTGATTCTATGAACTCACTTATTCCATGTATCAATCTCGTAAAACAACTCTGAACTGCCTCCAATACATTTACATTCTTCCTTAAATAAATGCACCAAAACTGCGCACAATACTTCAGATATAGTCTCCTCAGTCCCCTGTAAAACTGAGTCATACAATCTTTATTTTTGTGTTCAGTTCTTCTTGTTATAAAAGATAGAATTCTGTCAGCCCTGTTGATTAAATGTCATACTTGCTTGACAATGTTTTGTGACTAATGCACTGGAATGAAACTAAATCTCTCTGCACTTCAGAATTCTCCATTTAAGTAGTACTCTGCTTATTTATTCTTCCTGGAAAAGTGAACAAATTCACATTTTCCCACATAAACTCCATCAGTTAGATTTTTTTTGCCCACTCACTCAACCTACTTGTATCTGTCTGCAACCTTGCTATTTCTACCTCACAACATAGTTTCCTAGATATCTTTGTATCATCTGCGCATGATGCTGGGTAAATGTCGATGCCTTCCTTGAGTGGTACACTGGTGAACAGGTTAGCAATCTCAAATGAGCACGTGGACACTGCATTGCTATCGATGTCCTCGTCCTGTATTATCTTCCCAAAACTGAATGAATCATTTACTGCGTTATGTGAAAAACTTGCTCAAAGGTTAAGCCTAACTAGCCTAATGATTTGACCAGATCGCATTGTGCAGAACCATATGTGGATAAGATAGGGCGTAAAGGGATGTCTCTGTTGTGTGACTTGGAAGGTTCATAAAATAGGATTCGTCCTCACTGCATCCGGATCACATAAATCACCTGATAGCTCATTGCTCTCACTGAAGACTTGACAAGTTTTTTAGCTAGTGACATAATAGATCCTTTGGTCCAACCTGTCTGCATCGACCAGACGTCACATTCTGACCTCGTCCCATTTGCCAGTATTTGGCCCATATCTCTCTAAACCCTTCCTATTCAGAGACCCATCCAGATGCCTTTTAAATGTTGTAATTGTGTCCGCCTCCACCACCTCCTCTGCCAGCTTATTCCACACAAGCACCAAGCTCTGCGTGAAAAAGTTAGCCCTTAGGTTCTTTTTAGGTCTTTCCCCTCTCACCTTAAATCTGTGCCCTCCAGTTTTGCACATGATCAAAGATTTGACTGAATATTGGCTGCTTTGATTGCAAAACATATTTCTCCACAGTATGGACGGAGGATGAACGGCAGTGAGGAATCTGATTGGGGTGAGGAGGAGGAGGAGGAGATGTCAGAGCATAATTATTAGAACAGCAACCCAGGAAAGGAACCACCTCTGGGAGGGGTTGTGGATCCCTGGAGGTTGTGCTGTCATAACAGGCTGGTTTAACTTTGAGCAATTCATCCAAGAGTTGACTCAGGTAAATTTTAAATGACATTCAAAACAACTTCAGTTTCTGAAATCTTCTACGTAAGAACTAGGAGCAGGGGCAGGCAATTCAGTCCATCAAATCTGCTTCGCTATTTAATATGATCATGGCTGAACTCATTTTAGCCTGAACTCCACTTTTCTGCTGCTCGCCATCGCCATTCAACCTGTTACCAATTAAAATCCTGTTGATCTCCTTCTTAAATTTACTCAATGTCCCAGTGTCCACCGTACTCTGGGTTAGCAAATTCCAGAGATTCACAAACCTTTGAGGAAAGTAATTCCTCTTCCATCACTGTTTTAAATCTTCCACCGTTACCCTAAAACTATATTCTTTTGTTCTAGATTGCCCCATAAAGGAACATCTGCTCTATATCTACTTTGTTGATCCCATTTAGCATCTTTTATACCTCAATTAGATCCCCTCTCATTCTTCTAAACTCTGGTAAGTATAAGCCTAAACTGCTCAGTCTCTCCTTATAAAACAAGACTTTCATCTCTGGAATTAATCAAGTGAACCTTCTCTAAACTTCCTGCAATGCAATTAAATCCATCCTCAAGTCAGGAGACCAGAACTGTACACAGTATTCAATATGAGATCTACCCCAATGCCTTATACAGTTGCAAAACACTTTCCTATTTTTATATGCTATTCCTTTAGCAATAAATGCTGCAATTCTATTTACCTTCCCTGTTACCTGCTGTACCCGCATATTAGTTTTCTGCAATTCATGCAACAGGACACACAGATCCCTCTGCACCAAAGTGCCTCAAGTTCCTCTCCATTTAGATAATAAGTTACCTTTCTATTCCTCAGGTCAAAATGGACAACCTCACATTTATCCACATTAAACGCCGTCTGCCAAATTTTGGCCCATTTGCCTAACTTATCCATGTCCATTTATAAAGTGTTCGAGTAAGGCTGTCCAATCAGGCTAAGCTGCAGGTCAAATGCAAAAAAATTTGGACCTAACTTGTTAAGGATAACTATTCCTGACCTTTCATTCTGTTTACTGATCTGTATATCCAGGTTGGCCTTGAGGCCTCGCAACTCTGAGAGACATGTGCAAAAAATCTGGCAAGTCATTTGGATTCTCAAAATGTGTACACTAGATCAGAAAGGCGCACTTTCAAGAATCTCCACCACAGTAGACTCCCAACCCCTGACATTTACATCCCTCAAACACTTAGCTCCCCCCCGTTCCCTATGCACCTTGGTACCCTACTCAGTTGGCACACTACCCCTGCCCCAGCAAGATAACCCCCCCTGCTGGTGCCATGCCCCCATACCAGCATGGCAGCCCCGACCAAAATGGCATCTTACCCAATTGGCAACCTATTCCTGAATTATCTGGATTCTATGACCTGGCACCCTAATCTATTGCCATCTTCCACCTTACTTATGTGGCATCCTGCCCACTTGGCAGACAACACATTACCCATATGGCACCTTATGCTCCCAGCACTCTAACATCACAATTACCTTATATGTCTACTCTCATAAAATAATAAACTTTAATGGATTAGACAGCCCCTGGTGGGCTCTGTAACATAAACAAAATCAAGTGGTGAATGGAAACTTATAGAAATAGCAGGGAAACTTATCAAATCAAAATAATGATGCACCCCGACCCGTGCAGTACCCACCATCTCTAAAGGTCTCTGTCATACCGGTAGACACTGCATGCTCCCTCTCAGTGAACATCGTGTATGTAGCTGTGAAAGAGGGGAAAGCAGTTGGAAACTCTGACACTCTCCTCAGGCGGCTGCCTGGACTCATTGGTCATCTTGGCCAGGCCCAGAAGCAGGTCCACAAAGGATGCTGTCTGACCTACCCACCTCTCCCTGCATGGGGTACTGCAGATTAGGAGCCAGGGGCTGAAGTGCAAACAGAAATTTAATATATGTGCATAATATACTTGGCTGTCAGGACCTTTACGTTTTAAAACAAGGCAGCTTACCGCTGTGAAAATATGGTGCAATTTACCTTCATCTGACAGTCTACATTATGACAGAACTGCCAGAATGGAGGAATGGCTGTGCATTTCTGAAGGAGATCTGAATGGCATTTTCCATTCAGAAATGCAGATCTCCCTTCTTTCACACAAAAGTAAGGAGCGTGAAATTGCCACTCCCTGGAAAATCTAGCCCATTCTGCCCATCACAAAACTGAGTAATGTAGTAATTTCAATGCCAGTATGATGTCTTATTTGTCAGCTCAAATAGTCTGATCATACCTCATAGCATATCCCATCAGCTGCTCACAACAGGCGAGGTATTGACCATACCCATCTAGACCATGTCTACAAACCCCAAAGCATAGCATCTGACGTTAGTTGTGATTCTACAACTGAACAATGTTTGTTGTTATTTACATTTGCAAACTCCTCAACACGTTAAGAATTGTGCTGACAACTAACTTAAGGTTGCCAGTCTGGCTGACTGTGTGTTGGACTTATGGGTCCTGGAAGTAGTATATATTAACAGACAGTATTCTCCTTTTTACAGACAGAAAGAACATGTACACACATTGTGCATGTATCAATTCAACAAAACAGCTACTGGCCATTCTCTGCTGTTTCATTTTTCAGGGAAATGCCTTAACCAATCAGAGTAAACATACCA